CCCATTTAGAGACAAATCCAGGAAGCCAGCTCTCAGGCAGCATGACTGCACACAGAAAGGATGCCCCAGCAGAGAGTAGCATCCTTCTGCTCTTGTGACAACCTGCCTAAGGGACATCTAAGCCACAGACGTCACGAGACATGGGTGAGTAGAAGCAAAGGAGAGGCACTAAGGAATGAACTCAGTACGCATCGGATGCTCACCTAACACACAGCTGGGAGCTGAGAGGGGCTGAGTAAGTCTCTACCCCAAAAATGAAAGATGTAAGAACTAGCCATAAACAGATGTAAGATGAAACCCAGGCTCAGAGGAGACACGGTTACCTGTGGCGGGGAGCGGAGGGACAGAGATGCTGGAAGGCCTTGCTGCGTGGACCAGAGCACTGAAGAACGTGAACAGTGCTGTGCTTGGGGCAAATGGACCAGGCGTGATGAAGACGAAGCATCTGCTGAGGGTACTATTAGAAATCTGGAACTTCTCTTCCAAACTACACCATCCCTTTCCCAAGATCCCAAGATGGATCCCTGTAACAGTGGGACACAAAGGCCATGCCACCCAAAATAAAAGAAAGCACTGAGCAGCTTTCTAACACACCCTTGTTCTACCAGGATTTCACCAGATGGGTCAACACATCAAGTAGTTCCATGACACCCCCTTCTCACGAGGCCCTGCTGTCTGCTTCCCTGTGCAGGACGGAGGGGTAGCTTGGGAGGGACTCAGGGCATGTACCACCATTCAACACTGACAGCGCAGGAGCGGCTCCTCTGTATCCACAGTTCCACATCTACGATTCAACCAACCACAGATTCTGTGGTACTGTAGCGTTTACTACTGAAAAAAATCCATGTATAGGTGGATCTGTGCAGTTCAAGGTTGTGTTGTTCAAGGGCCAACTGTAATTTACTCTCAGTGCTACTTTCTTTCCTTTTTCTTCTTTTTAAAGAATCCTGTTTGTGATTTATAAGGGCAAAAGCCAGAGGTGGCACAGCCTTTTGTACATTTTTGTCAGCATCTCGGCACAAGCAAATGCAGTTATCACTGTTTTGCCTACAGCGACACCTGCAGATCGAAAGGGAAACTGCAGGACCTACGGCCACCGAAGCGGAACCAGACACAGATGGAACCCAAGAGGCAAACCCCACCAACAGCTCTGAGAGGTGTCCAACTTAGTGATTAGGACGTTGATGCTGTTGGTTTTGCATCCCTCTCTCCTTCCACAGCACTAGTAATGTCATCAGCATTTCTGAAAGCTTCCCAGCTCCCTAGAAGTCCTTTGAGCACAGATCACTGGGTCAAGTACAATATAAACCCTGGGGCTCTAAGCAGCACTTTTTACAATATCTTCACTACGGATAACTCATAAACTGTGAAGCTCCTTTGCAGAGTATGTGCACCTCTCAAAGCTATCTTGTATGGGCAAGGAAATTTTTGTGTACCCAAATTCTCTCATCTCTAAGGAATAAAACTGGGCACTTTTGAGCACTACGGTGGCGGCATGTGGCTTTATGTGTAAAAATCTGTACTTTATTTTATGTATAAATGAAAATGTACACTTCAAAAACTTTAACCCGGGCTTCCCTGGTGGTGCAGTGGTTGAGAGTCCGCCTGCCGATGCAGGGGACGCGGGTTCGTGCCCCGGTCCGGGAAGATCCCACGTGCCGTGGAGCGGCTGGGCCTGTGAGCCATGGCCGCTGAGCCCGCGCGTCCGGAGCCCGTGCTCCGCAACGGGAGAGGCCACAACAGTGAGAGGCCCGCGTACCGCAAAAAAAAAAACAAAACTTTAACCCATGGTTGGCAGGGTCTAGGCTGGGGACAGGGGGTTGACACCAAAGTGTGATTTGCCTGTAGACGGAGTGAAGCTGCCATCACCACTACCTAATACTGGGCAGAACCACCGGCAAATGGGTAGCAAGCAGGAGTAATCAGAAGTCAGCAACGTCAGACCCAGATTCTAGGTATGTAACTGGTTTTTGGACAGGGTGCCCCACAAAGGCAGTGCTTCTGTGTGGTCACCTGAAGAACAACTATCTTAAGTTATTTAATTAACAGAACCCCCAGATCTACAGTTTATAGGATAAGCAATTCTGGGCACTGACTGGAGGGACTTGGGGGGCCACAAAAGCTACAACAAGGACAAGGATGGCTTTCATGTTCCATTTCAGATCTGCCACAGAACAGCCTTTCAGATGGAACTAGAGAGATGTGGACCACAATTTCTTGTTTTGTTCATAGAAAACCAGTGAATACCTGAAGGCTGAGAAGGTTCAGTCTATGGAAGCGTTGAGCCTGCAGCACCAAACTAAGGTTTCCCGGAACACACCCAGGTCTTCAGTCTACGCTTACACCACGGTAGGACTAGCAAAACTAACACTGATACTAACCTGGAATACAACTCATTGGTCCAAGAATAAAAAATAGGGTCTCTACAAGACAACAAGGCAGCTATTCTAATCTATTACTCAGGAATTAAAAACAAATCCCCTCTTTTAATAGAGTTTTTAGAAATTATAAAAAGAATGCAAAAAAATTAGTAAAGCAAAGTGTATAGTTCATTGTAGAAAAATTAGAAAATACAGTAAGGGGCAACGATGGCAATGAAAAACACTCACAGTTCCACCACTATTCATAATGTACTTCCTTCTGGGCTTTTTCTCTGCAGGTACAGTTAACCCCCCTTGAACAACAGTGGGTTAGGGGCACCGACCCTCCATGCAGTCGAACTTGGACTTTGAGACTCTGCAGTCTTGCCCCAACCTATCTCCACAAAATTTATTTTCCCCCTACTCCGCATTGTATGCCACTCCAAGTTGTTCACTTTGCTTCATTAACTAGGACCTACATTCAAAGAGTCCCCAAAACAGGTTAGAGGGAGAGTGCAAGGAGAGGGAAGAACAGAAGGGAAGTTTAGTCAGAGAAGGGCCAAGGGGGAGAGGCAACCCAGGAGAGGGCAGGGAACAGTCCTATGAAAGAGGGAAGAGAGAAGATTCACCTAAAAACAGAGCAGGCCAGGAGCAGCATGCTGTCTTTCAGACACTGCCACAGCTCATACACAAGGAGGCATCAGCTCTTCTCACCCAAACAGGGGCAGGGAAGCACCAGGAAGCAGAACTCCTGAAAAGTGAGGACAAGTACAGCACAGGGCTTGATCTAAGCCCTACTCAGCTGCATGACCCTTGGCTCATTCAATATTCACAACAGCCTCAGAGGGAGATGCTATTATTATCACCTCCGCTTTACAAAGGAGAAAACTGAGACACAGAAAGGTGACGCAGGTTGCACAAGGTAATATATTTACTAAGTGGCAGGCTCTGAGGGGACTCTGCGTCCACAGTCCCCCATTCCAGACAACCTCTTTGGGCGTACATTAGACCAAGAGGACTGTGGGCCCATGTCCCAGCAGTTGCTCCTGCAGGGAAAAAACAGAGTCAAGACACACAGACAGGCAGGTCTCACAGGAAAGCATAACTCTATGAGGCCAGTGCTCTAACTCTGGTCTAGCTCTTAACTGGCTGTTTGACTGTGGGCAGATTATTACCTTACCCTATAGAGAGAAAAAGGAAGGATACTGAAACCAGTTGACCTCCCATCCTACACACTGTAAGGCAGTTTGCAAACATGAAGAGCTAACTAAATGCTGAAATAGTCAGTGTGTTACCAAGTAAGACCCACTTAGGGACAAACCCAGCCACCAGATGTCAAGCAAGAAAGAAGCCACCTGTGACATAAAACTAGCAATGTTTCCTTAGGTCAGTCTCCCAAGGCAAAAGAAACAAAAGCAAAATAAACAAATAGGATGTAATCAAACTTATAAGCTTTTGATAAACAAAAAGACAACTTAAGGAATGGGAGAAAATACTTGCAAACAATGCAACCAACAAGGGCTTAATTCCCAAAATATACAAATAACTCACACAACTCAATAATAAAAAAACAAATAACCCAAATGAAAAATGGGCAGAAGACCTAAAGACATTTCTCCAAAGAAGACATACAGATGGCCAATAGGCATGTGAAAAGATACTCAAATTGCTAATTGTTAGAGAAATGCAAATCAAAACTACAATGAGGTATCACTTCACACAGGTCAGAATGGCCATTATTAAAAAACTCTACAGGGCTTCCCTGGTGGCGCAGTGGTTGGGAGTCCGCCTGCCGATGCAGGGGATGCGGGTTCGTGCCCTGGTCTGGGAGGATCCCACATGCCGCAGAGTGGCTGGGCCCGTGAGCCATGGCCGCTGGGCCTGCATGTCCGGAGCCTGTGCCCCGCAGCGGGGGAGGCCACAGTGTGGAGGAAAGGGACCCTCTTGCACTGTTGGTGGGAATGTAAATTGGTGCAGCCACTATGGAGAACAGTATGGAGGGTCCTTAAACAACTAAAAAAAGAGTTACCATATGATCCAGCAATACCACTCCTGGGCATATACCCAGAGAAAATTCTAATCTGAAAATATATATGCACCCCAGTGTTCACTACAGCACTATTTACAATAGGCAAGACATGGAAGCAACCTAAGTGTCCATCAACAGGTGATTGGATGAAGATGTGAGACACACACACACACACACACACACACACACACACACACACAATGGAATACTGCTCAGCCATAAAAAAGAACAAAATAATGCCATTTGCAGCAACATGGATGGACCTAGAGATTATCATACTAAGTGAAGTAAGCCAGAGAAAAACAAATATCATATGATAACACTTATATAAGGAATCTTAAAAAAAAAAAGAAGATACAAATGAACTTATATACAAAACAGAAACAGACCCACAGACACAGAAAACAAACTTATGGTTACCAAAGGGGAAAGGGAGGTGGGGATAAGTTGGGAGTGTGGGATTAGCAGATACACACTGCTATGTATAAAATCAATAACCAACAAGGCCCTACTGTACAGCACAGGGAGCTATATTCAATATCTTGTCATAAACCATGATGAAAAAAAGAAAAGAAGAGAAAAGAAAGAAGCCACAAAGTAGAAATTCTTACTTGGGAAGAGCTGGTGGGCTCCTCGGGACTTCAGCAGCGCCAGCATCTGCTCCTGGTGGCTCTGCCTCCCTGGCGCGGGGGGCCACTTCCTGCACGGCGTCCTGCGGGCCGGGGGGCTCCTGAGGGCCGCCCGAGTCTGTGGTGGAGTCAACCTCCACCTCCTGAACCGGGGCTGGGACCGGCTCCTGCTCGGCCGCGGCCTCCTCCCCTTCCTTCCTCCTGATCTTCTCCTCCAGCTCCTTCCTCCTCTTTTCATCATCCTGACGGGCCATACGGTCAAAGGTTTTGAATACCTAAAATCAAACAGCAATCCTGCAATGAGTTCATCCGCCCAGTACTGTACCACACATTCTGCAGAAATACAGCAAAATCTGGTAAATAAAGAATGAAAAAGCAGTAGACTAAAAAAAATGTTCCCATTGGCAAAATGGAAATGCACTTCAACTTCACCAAATGCCGCTAAGAAAACAATCTTTAAAGGGGAGTTCCAAAATCAACGAAAGTGAAACCTTTACAAGCCAAGGCTCAAAATATTTACACTCCTATGAGGCCAACTTTCAAGTCTAAATGATGCATAACTAAATGGTCTCACCTGTCATTACTTTTATAGCCCCAGAGAGCCTTGTTCGAAATGCAAAGAACACGCTGTCCTGGTACTGAGAGCTGTAAAGGCACCAACAACTCAGACGAAAGAAGAGAAGATGGGAATTAGTTGAATTTCAATCCACAAAATACAAGCCGGCTCACTGGACTGCTGCCATCTTCCCACACTGCATGGGCTGAGGGAAGGTGCGGGTCTTAGCCTGGGAATTCAACAACCAACCAAGATGTGCCTACAATGTGCAAGGGGCACCAAAAATCCAAATGACAGCTCCCAACCTCAAAGAACTCCATTTTCTGGTGTGTGGATCAGTCATTAATCTTTTCGGGGCCACAGTCACACCCACAAAAGTGCTGGGACTCTCCATCCAAAAAGTGCACAAGAAAATGGCATTTTGTATGCACCATTCAAGGGCGCACCTAACCCTGAAGTGCAGCCAGGACAGACCCAGACGTGACAAATCTGACAGGAAGAGGCTGTGACGAATACATGGGATGCCATCAGAATGAGGGTGCAAATGAGCATTTCCGGTGAAAGAGAGCTAAGGAAGTTTCTTGGAAGAAGGCGCTCTGCATCAGACCTTGAATGAAAGGCACACCTTCCAAAGGGAATGACAGGAGGAAATGTCACAGCTCCAAGAGGCAGGGTCATCAAGAGATATATCCTATGGTATCTCCTCCCAGAGACAGGAAAGCTGGGATATCCACCTTGAAAAGTGGGTGGGAGAAGACCCTTACATTCAATCCAGCAACCTCGCTCCATGGTATTTACCCAAAGGAGTTGAAAATATGTCCACCCAAAAACCTGTACACGGATTGTGTATAGCAACTTTATTCATAATTGCCAAAACTTGGAAGCAACCACAATATCCTTCAGCAGGTGAATGGATAAACAAATTGTGGTACATCCAGACAATGGAATATTATTCTGTGATGAAAGAAATGAGCTATTAAGCCATGAAAAAACATGGAAGAACCTTAAATGCATATTAGTAAAAGAAACCAATCTGAAAAGGCTACACAGTGTACGATTCCAACTATATGACACTGTGGAAAAGGCAAAATTTTAAAGACAATAAAAAGACCAGTGGTTGCCAGAGGTTGCAGGGAGGGAGGTTGGAGGCAGCAGGTAGAGCGCACAGGATTTTTTTAGGGCAGTGAAAATACTTCGTGTGGTACCATAATGAGGATTACATGCCATCACACATTTGTCCAAACCCCGTAAAATGAACATGAAGAGTGAACCCTGAAGTAAACTGTGGGTTTAGGTGACTATGGTATGTCAATGTAAGTCCATCAACTGTAAGAAATGCACCACTCTGGTGGCAGCTGTTGGTATAGGGGACGCTTGGGGGGGCGGGGCAGGGGGGACATGAGAAATCTCTGTACCTTCCCCTCCATTTCGCTCTGAACCTAAAACTACTCTAAAAAACAGTCTTAATAAAATAAAAATGTTTTAAAGTGTGTAGGAGTCAGTTTCCAAAGGGCTAGAATGCAGACAACTGCTAAATAACTGTTGCGTGCACTGGGCAGGAAGACAGAACCAGAGAAGTTACTAACTCTGCCAATGTTTTTACAGACATTCTCTCAAAACCCTCGTGAAAATGCTGTGAGGAAGACAGCACTGACATTTCAAAGATAATGGAAAACTAAGCTTGGAGAGGGTAACCTGCCCAAGGTCCTGCCAGTGAAAGAAGAAAGTAAAAAATTATACAGGAAACACACCCAACACTGAAAGGAGATGTAGGCAGAGGAAGATAAGTAAAACCCTAAGGCTAAAAACTGGAAACAGTATCTCTCTCTACTTCTTCAGGGAACCTGAGCCCCTGACTCACTCCTCTTGTACGCACAGTCAGTGACATCGGACACCAGACCCGTTGCCCTCAGAGCCGTTCATCCTCCTGACGCCACACATCTTCATCTTAACTCCAGAAAACAAGCAACAGCAAGGGCTCTCTCCAAATGCCAGAGGCCTCCCTCGGACCCTGGGCCTCTCGTTCCTCACTACACTGCGGCCCCCACCGCCCCTGCTTACTCAGCACCCCGCCTGCCCCCTGGCTTCACCTCTCATGTCGCCACTGACCTCAGCACTCATTTCAGAATCCTGGACTGCGGAGCTGGAAGAGATGTCCCTGACCTCCAATCAACCTTCTCAACTGACAGAGAGGAGAGTGATTCTCCCAAGACTTCCCAGCAAGCTCAGAACAGATAGAGCCAGTTTTCCTGACTCTCATGGGGGGACCTGTAAGCTTGCCAAACCGGACTCCAGAATAAACACAGAGGATCCACTGATACGAATGAAACGTCATTCAAAATTACTGTTTTCTTAAAACATACTAATAAATCATGGAGTGGAATACAATTTCTACATGCATCTTTCCTGCTGCGGGTCCGGCAAGCTGTACATTCAGACTGTGCAAGCCCTAAGAATTAGGAGGAAAAGTCTGAGAAGGCTTAAACCTCACCAACAGCCCATACCCCAAAATATCAAGGGAGAACTTTTGGGTTCCAGAACAGAGTACCCCAATACTCCCATCCAAACCCTCTTTGCCTGAGTTCTGAAGAGACCCCCAAGCACCCCACTGCCAAATGCCTCTGTGGATAAAAGAACAGCTCCCCAGGACTTACCCTGATCTACCCAACCAAAATACCCAGGGAATATCTGCTCTTTTAAAGTTCCTTGGGCAATACTGATGATTCAGAACCACTTTAAAAAAAAACACTACACCCCTCCTAACCATCTGCTGGAAACTGTCCCCCTTGGTTTCCCTGAAACTTACTGCCCTGCCCACTTCCCTCCATCCCCCTCCCACTCACACAGCCTCTTCCGTCTCCCATCCCTTCTCTGGGATCCTTCCCCAAAGGGCTATCCTCCACCTTCAGTTCCTCTCCTTCAAACCAGATTCCTCTACCTCCCTTAAAATCCAGCCCCACAATTCAACAGCCTGTGGGAAGGGACTTCTGCCTGCAGTCTCCAATTCAACTAAGCTTCTTCCCCTAAACTCAGGTGACAGTTCAGTGAATGCATTATCATTATTACAGTGCCCAGGTTTGAAATCCTGGATCACCTCTGGCCCATCCCAACCCTCTCTCTGCCCTGCTCCCCACCTCCACTTGATTAAACTGTTCACCAAGTCTTAACCTCAAGGGTGTCTGAAACATAGTAGGTGTCTTACATGAATTACCTCTGTCAGTTCACCTGTAAAACAAGGGAAAAGACCAACCTCTCAGGTTGTGTTAGAAATAAATAACATCCTAGAATGTAAAATACATAACAACTGGTGCATACTAGGTGCTCAGTAAATGTTCCTTTCTCCTTTACATCTTTTCTGCAAAAGATCACCCTAGACAAAAGTGTTCCCACCCTACAATGGATTGGCTAAATAACAGAACAGAAAGATCTGGAATCTGAAAAATGAAGTTTTGAGTTCCAGCTCTATGATGGGTTTCGTCAAATCACCTAACCTTGCTGAACTGGCACCCTCATCTGCCACATAAAATTCAACCTTATCTATTTCACAGTCTTCCATGAAACCGTTAATTTGACATAAGGGCCTCCTAAAAACCATCTCTGACACACAGCTCTCTGATCACTCAGATGGCACTTAACAACTCACAAGGGTGACAAACAGCCTTAAGTCTTGAAATTGAATACCGCCCTCACTCCTCACCTGACCATGTTATCTTTGGTAGTTAAACATTGTAAACTTCTGTTTCTTCATGCAGGCAGAGGAAAATACCTGACCAACCTGCAGCTTGTAGCAAGTCTTCAGAAGATGAACATTTGAAATCACTTCATAAACTGTAAAATGCTACAGAACCGTGGGAGGTTATCACCAGCATTTCTACCTTCTCAGGTTCCTAGAAACAGGCTCGATGCTTGACTTAGTACCATCTTTCAATCCCATCAAAGTCCCACCTCTTCGAGTAGCACTGACGTATATACACTACCAAATGTAAAATAGAGAGCTAGTGGGAAGCAGCTGCATCACACGGGGAGATCAGCTCGGTGCTTTGTGACCACCTAGAGGGGTGGGATACGGAGGGTGGGAGGGAGACGCAGGAGGGAGGGGATATGGGGATATATGTATACATATAGCTGATTCACTTTGTTATACAGCAGAAACTAACACAACATTGTAAAGCAATTATACTCCAAAAAAGATGTTTAAAAAAAAAAAAGTCCCACCTCCTCTATGAAACTTTTCTCCATTTCCAAACCATCATTTCTATTCCTTTCCTTCCAATGGGCTCTGCCACATAATTGGCCTTGCATAGTTCTCTGTTACTGTATTTTACCTCCTTAACTAAAGCATTAAGTATCCCAAGGAGAGAGACCATTATTTAACCATCTGCATTAGGAGTGTATCTCCAATGCTTCTGGCAGCTGAGAGTATAAATACATTCAGTATATAAACTCTTGGTTATTACATTCCAAGTACCCCGTCAACGTCAGTGAGTAAGTATTACTAGCACCTCAAACATACAATAAACTTAACCTGGGATGTACAGATATATGTTCAAATGTCAACTTAATAAGTACTACTATGACTGTCTTTGACCTGAAAAGTCACACTTCGAACAGGGGGACCACACCCATCAATCACACAGTCTCCCTTCCACGTCCAGTCGTCGCAGCTCTGGGGTGTGCAGGTGTCCGTGCTGCCGCCCGTTTCTCCGTCTAGCCTGCACTATTTTCATTCTCTGACTGGCAGGCCCTGGCACCTCGAAGGGTTACACGCTGCGGGAGTTGACCCTGGCCCTGAGCGTCGATGTACTACTTCTGATATCCAAGTGCACCCGGTCGTACCAGGCTGCTCGAGAGCCAGCCCCTCTCGCACGGAAGGAGTAAACTGATACCCCAAGAGCATGTCTGCTGAAGCCGCGGCCCCAGGAGGCTGGTCCGGGGCAGCGCCAGAGGATGAACTGAGGCCGGCAGCGAACGGAGCGGCGGGCCCGCAGGGGTCTGGGCTCCCGGAGAGTCGGGGACTACGGGGGCGCGCTCGCTGGGGTCGGGGTCGGGGCTCCCACGGCCTCCCCCCACCCCGAGCTTCCCGCCGGCCGCGCATTACCTGCAGCACCAGAGCCTGCGCGGCCCCCGGCGGGAAGCCCATGCGATCCGACGGGTGGCGCAGCAGGCGATAGAAGTCCGTCTTGCGGTAGAGGAAGCCGAAGAGCACACGCAAAAAGTCCTGGACGTTGCCCACGTGCTGCAGGATGCCCAAGAGGGCCTGATCGTACAGCTCCGCCGCCCCGGGCTCCATGGCGTCGCTGGCCGGAGGGAAGCTCACTCACTGCGGGCGCGGCCCGGACGCCGGCCTGGGCCCACTTCCGGTGCGCTGAGATTACGGCTCCGGCAGCCAGCTCGCCCGTGAAACTTCCGGTCCGCGCTCGTTCGCCCCCGCGGTAGGGCTCGGCTGGGCTGAGTTTGAGCCGACTTGACGCGGGCCCCGCCCCCACCCCCCCTGGCTTCCCGAGCGGTCTCGCTGAGGAGCGGACGTGGGCCCATAAACGCAAGAAAGCCCGGAGCTGCGGGACTGAGGGCCCCTAGTGGCCATGTGGCAACGGGCGGAAGACGTGCAGCGCGGGCAAGTGTTACGTGCGCCTCACTGTTGTCACGTGGTCTTTGGGTTGTGTTCCCAACTGGGTGTCCCGAGCCCCAGGTGGGACAGCGGCCCGAGCCCCAGGTGGGACAGCGGGAGCCTTTTTGCTGGCGCGTCAGAAGAGGAAATGCGAGCGCTTGCGGGTGGTGTCTGTCCTGTTAATAACGGAGCCGTGGGTGAAATGCAAGGTGAAGTGCATAAATACAAAAAGACAAGAATGTAAAGTGAGTGCATGCACAAATATTAAACGGAAAGATCTAGGTGCGGAGTAGAGAATCTGGCGTGCCATCCTGTGAAATATACACATGCGTATGTATTTGTGTGTCGTATATACATTGTATGCGTAGTATACACCCAGCGTGTATACGTGTCCTAAGTGTCTGTCAAAGCATAATCTTAAACTAAAAATATAACACTCATACAAATATATAATGAACACATGTGAAACATTTATACATTTTAAGTAAAGTAATATGACAGTGATATGACAAAGCTAGTTTGGAGAAGCTTTTGGAGAAACTGGGTATTTATCAACACTTTGAGAAAACAGTAAGATTGCTAGGTGGGATACGAAGCTGGCTGGTGTCCTACAAAATGATGTAGATTATCTTTTCCAGTGGGTAGAAATGATTTGCATCTCTACTGGCCTAAAATCTACAGGTTAACATATATCTTCATAGTGCGTGGGCGCTAATGAATTGTAAATAAAGGCAAACTCATAAATTGCCCTAGAGCAGTGGTTCTGAAACTTTCTGGACTTAGGACGCATTTACTGGGAATTCCCTGGCGGTCCGGTGGTTAGGACTCTGAGTTCTCACTGCCGAGGGCCCAGGTTCAATCCCTGTTCAGGGAACTAAGATCCCACATTTTGTGAGGCGCGGCCAAAAGAAAAAGAAAAAAAAAGGACCCATTTTCACTCTTAAGATTTATTGAAGACTCCAAAGAGTCTTCAATATTTTATGTAGATTATGCTTATCGGTAGTTACCACACTGGAAATTAAAACTGAGAAAATTTTAAAATATTTCTTTATGCATTCTAATAACCATAAAAAACACATTACATATTAACATATTTTTATGAAGAAATAATGTTCTTCAAAGCAGTAAAAGTTTATGAGAAACATAGCATCCTTTTAAATTTTGCAAATCTCTTTACTATCTAGCTAATTGAAGACAGCAAGATTCTCACATCTGCTGCATTCACTGCATTGCAGTATGTTGTTTTGATTGAAGTATAAGAAACCCAGTCTTGGGGCTTCCCTGGTGGCACAGTGGTTGAGAGTCTGCCTGCCGATGCAGGGGACGCGGGTTCGTGCCCCGGTCCGGGAAGATCCCACATGCCACGGAGCGGCTGGGCCCGTGAGCCATGGCCGCTGGGCCTGCGCGTCCGGAGCCTGTGCTCCGCAACGGGAGAGGCCACAACGGTGAGAGGCCCACGTATCAAAAAAGAAAAAAAAGAAAAGAAACCCAGTCTCATACAAATAGTAGTTTGTCTTTTTAAATAAATGTGAGTATTATTCTTGGAAACTACACCAAAATTCTACAGATTGTAGTTTCTGAGTGGTTAGTTGTAGTATGGAAGCTGAAAACCCAATCAATAAATGTTTCCTACTTTGTCCCATTAATAGCTATTGGTCTATCCTATACTTTGAATGGATCTTTGTTGGTTCACAAGCTAGCCCCCATACACCCAGGGCAAGGAGAGACTGAAGAAAGAGGCAAACCACTTCAGATTGGTAGGTGGCAGGTTTAATAAGCAAGGGAAGTAACTTACAAGGCTTGCCTGGGCAGCCACTCTGCCAGAATCTTAAAAGTTTATACAGAAGCCTTAACTGGGTTCAGTCACGTACACTGACTGGATGGTCTCATCAACACCTTACTCTCTCAAGGCCGTTTCCCTGAAAACAGCTCCCACTGTGGGAATGGTAGGCAGAGCGTACATCACAAGGACAGCAGAAGGGGTGAGGGGTCTCCTATTGCCTGGGTCCAGCTGGAGGGTCAACCAGGGGTAGTGTTCTCTTGATTACCCGCCCCCAACAATCTCTTTTACACACATGATTTTGTAACACCAGAATGGAAGGAAGAATGTGACGCAAGAATCTAACTGTATTAAAAATGTACGAAACAGCCTCTCTGAAAGGGGTGGTAGAAGGAGATGCTGACCTAAGTAACTTTGGAAATGAATGGTGTCTGGAAGACTAAACACTAAAGGAACTGTACATAGACACTTAATTCTAAGGTTGTTTTCCACAGGGATATGAGTTATCATTTCTGAGACTACTACATATGTACAGAGGAAATGAACAATTATGTAAATGGTGAGGGTGGTACAGCCGGGCTTCTCACTATTGACATGGGAGGCTACAGACAAGCAAGAGAGCAGTCTAGAATGATTCGCGTGGTTATGGGCTAGAGGTGGAGGCATCAGCATAAACTCCTGTTTAGCTTAATATAGATACAGATGGCTACATATAGCAATATTTATAGAAATGTGTACATACATGGGTCAGTGTACACACATGTTTCCTTGCTCTCTCAGCTGAGAGGACCCATAAGCAACAATGCCCCAGCAGCAACGCACACCCTGAACACCCAGATCCTGGTTTCTAATCCCATCTCCAATAGAAGGGCTAGAACTCCTGGGAGAAACGACTGACTCTAGGACTGGGGCAGAAATATACAAGTTGAGCCTGGATCATCTTATGATGCCAGAAAGTAAGGAAGTGCTCAAAAAGGGGAAAAAAATCCACAGTGATGGGAGTATGCCAAAGGGACCCAGGAGCCAATTGAAAGAGCTCCCAATGGCCAAACGTGGAACAGTTTGAGCCCCAAATAAAGTAGTAGCATATTAGAACCCAAAGTACAAAATGAGTATCCGTGAGTCCATACTGATATAGATATCATACGGAATAAATAAATAAATGGAGAGGAATAGACAATTTTCCTGTTCAGAAGAGTTCCAAATAAGTTATGTAAACACCCCACCTGCCAGGAAGTGGAACATAACTCCCCCCTCCTTAAGTGTGGGCTGTGCATAGCGACTTCCGTCCAAAGAACACAGCATGGAAACAGGTGCAAGATAACTGTACAGGGAAGACACCTGGCCGACGCAACCTCAGCCAGGTGGTCAGAGTCAGCATCACAGCGATGAGTGGTGGCGACTGCAGGCACCCTTGGCACGATATGCTGAGAACGGTGCTCTGCCTCTGTGGTCTCCCTCCCAAAAGCCCATCACCCTAGTCTAATCAGGAGAAACACCAGACAAACCCCATTTGAAGGATATTCTATAAAATGCCTGACCAGTCTTCAACTGTCCAGGTCATCAAAAACAAAGAAAAGGAGAGTCTGACAAACTGTCACAGCCCAGAGGAGCCTAAGTAGACATAACATCTGAGCATTATGTGGTGTCCTGGATGGGATCCTGGCACAGAAAATGGACACTAGATAAAAGCTACGGAAATCTAAACAAAGTATGGACTTTAGTTAGTAGTAATGATCAGTACTGGTTCATTAATTGTACACTGACAAGTGTATTATATTAACGTAATATGTTAGCAGGGTAAACTGGGTGGGGGGCATACAGAAACTCTCTGTACTATCTTTGTAATTTTTCTGTAAAACTATTCTAAAATTTAAAAGTCTTCTTTTAAAAAAGTGTTTTTAAAAAAGGGATAATCATCCATAATCCTACCCCCCGGCCTCCCAAAAGTAAGTAGAGTGCTTTGTTGATATTGGTGCAGGGAGAGAGGCACCCTCATCCACTGCTGGTGTGAACAGGGCAACCTCTCTGGGAGGCATTTGCCTGTATGCCGTTCAGTGCTACAGCGATGGTAGCTCCCCACACATAGACAGGAGACGTGTAAGCACGTGCTCATCACACAGGTCCATGGTTCCATACCTGAAATCCCATAGGTGAGCTGAATTTCAGAATTTAGAACATTTTTTAGAAAGGTAATTTGATGCTTACAGTACATTAGATATTACACCCCAGGAGGATCTAGGGAAGCAACACGAAATCAAACTCATTAATGCACTGAAATATATGACTATTCACAACAAGTTGGTTGAACAGTGTAAGTATCCTATTTATAAAGTATAAATAGCTACATCTTGTCTGATCGGTTTTTGCCACCAAATGAGTTTGTCCCAAACTTACAGGAGAAAAAGAGACAAACACAGTAGGTTTTCAGAGCTTTGGGAGCTCTGAATTCCACAAAAGTGACTGTGGACTTATAGCAGAAAAATAATTGGGGACAATGTGATTGCCCACTAGCTGAGGAATGGATAAAAACACCGTGTTCGTTCACACAATGGAATGCTGTGTCGCAGTTCAAATGATTGGACTAGATCTCCACGTATCGACATGAATAAATCAAAAACATGTATGTTTCATGCAAAAAAAAAAACCTCATTGCAAAAGGATAGGTCAAGTATAATATCAGTTAAGAAAAACTTTTAAATGTGCGATAATATTATATGTTTACATACACAGAACTAAAATTTTAAAACTTGCATGAGGAGGACACACGCCAAATTCAAGAGGTGGGTCAGGACCAGATCACACCCACGCCATCGCGCGCCACCTGCATCACAATCGTGTGTCCCTGTGGGTGAGACCTCATGGCCAGAGGGTGACCTGTCGTGGGCACTCCTGTGGGGAC